CGGCGGCGGGAGGCGGCGGCGGCGGCGCGGAGGCTCGACGACGGCGGCGGCGGCGGCTAGGGTTAGGACCTTGCTGCGATAGATACCATGTAGAGAGATAGGTTATGGGCTGTGCAATCGCAATGCATTGATCGGTGCACCAGGCACGTATATATAAGTACAGAGGTGGGCCACAACCTCAACTATACAAGGAAACATGAGGTGGGCCCTACACGCACATATACACGTACACAATATACTCAACAGTTTCTTCAAAACAACATCGATGGTTATCTTGTCGATCCAAACAAAACTTTCCGCGGCTAGCCGGCGATGGACACCTTCCGGGACTGCCGCTGCCCACGGTGGGACTGGGACTCCGTCTCCGCCGAGAAGCGCTGCAGTCTCCGCGCGGCTTGCCTGCCGCAGACGGCGTCGAGGTGCATCTGCTCGTGGCGGCACTCCTCGCTGCAGAAGGGCGTGTCCCCTCTGTACATGAAGACGTCGCTGTCGCGCGCCAGCCGCTTGGCGCAGAGCGCGCACGCGTCCAGCGCGTGCTTGCCGGGCTCGCCGGCCGGCTCGGCGTCGAAGAAGAAGGCGCAAGCTACTGATGCCGCCATGGTTCAACAGAGGCTTCTTCTAGGCAGCTAGCTCGGGCTTGTGCTTGAGCTAGTAAAACTCAGAGCTCGCTGCTGCTCTTGGAGGGGAAAAGGTGGGTGAGTTTGGTGCAGCAGTGCGATGGGGGAGGGCGGGTATATATGGGGGAAATGGAGCAAGGGAAGGCCATTATTGGTGCACTGGAACTGGCGGCCTGGGAAACCATGGTCCGGTGCGCGGTATGGGTCTGTCTTTGACGATGGGAGCGGTCCAGCTATTGCATTCCAGCATGCTTGAGTGTACTGGTGTAATTGGCTCCATGGCTAAGGTGGGCCAAGCATTTGGCTCCACCGCAACGAGAACGACGAAGGGAGGAGTTATGAGTGACGTGGATGGGTTCTTTATCTACTCCCTCCATTCCAAATTACTCTTGCTGGTTTTAGTTCAACCAGGGCCGGCCCTGTGTTTCGGGAGGCCCTAGGCGAACTCGATGCCATGTGCCCCTATGTCCTAAGATCATATATATGTATGCGCGTGCATGGTATATAAACTTGAACATAATAATTGTTGGACAATGCCATATTACGACAAAAATACTAAAAATATAGAAAATTGAAAGTAACATGATATGATTACCTCAAATAAGAACCAAATTCAACTGACTCCATCGACAACAATAATACTTAAGTACCCTTCAGTTGTTGAATCTTCAGATCCCTTTCTATCTTTTTTCTCCTTGTTTGAGCAACTGACAAATGCTTCTTAGGCAATATGGCGGGCTAATGTCCTAATATTATGAAGAAAAAATTATTCAAGGAATTAGAAATTTATACATCGGATGATTTGAATGATTGGAACCCTAGACATGTGCATAGAATGACAAAAAAAAAGAATGGTTGAATACATACTATGAAAGATTGAATTCGAAAACTATACATTAAAATTTGGAACTTCGTAAACACTGAAATTAGAGGATGGATCATGGATGAATAGTTGAATACGTTCTAAAAAAAAGAAATTACTGAAATTGGGGTTTGCAGGGATGGATTAGGAACATGGTACAGAGAGTTATGCATGGATACATATATACGTACTGCTGTGGGCTGCGCTCACTGCTCACATACATACGTATACGTACTGTTGCGGGCTGCGGCTGCTGGATTGCCGCACGGCGGGCGACGCGCGCAGCGGTGACCGAGGCGACCACAGCGACGAGAGGACGAACAGACGAGCGAGGCGTCCGCGAGATTTTCGATTGATTTGTTTCACAATCGAAACGAGCGGCCCTGCCGTGCGGCGTGCGTGACGCTTCGCTAATCGCTACCTGCTATCTGATGGGCCTACCTCATCTCGTTTTTCTTCTCTCATAATTTTTTTCTCACCTATTTTTGCTCGGCTATATTATATATGTGCACTACATCATGGGCCCCTCCCTGGGCTGGGCCCTGGGCCATCGCCCCCCTGCCCATGCCCCAGGGCCGGCCCTGGCTCAGCATTTTGCTCCAAAATCACCTACACACACATACCATGGTGGCATAGGTGGCCTGCTCCTTCTTCTTCGACGACGAACTGCTCGGCGAGCCCGGCATGCCGGCGATGGACGCGTGCGCGCTCTGCGCCAAGCCGCTGGCGCGCGACCGCGACGTCTTCATGTACAGAGGGGACACGCCCTACTGCAGCGAGGAGTGCCGCCACGAGCAGATGCACCTCGACGCCGTCTGCGCCAAGCAGGCCGCTCGGAGGCAGCAGCGGTTCTCGGCGGGGACGGAGTCCCACCGTGGGCAGCGCCAGTCCAGGAAGGTGTCCGTCGCGAGCTAGCTGGCCGGAGCGCGTGGGCGAGGAACGTTTTGTTTGAATCAACGAGATCTGTATTCTGTCTCCGGCCGGTGCTCTAACCTGGACCGCTGGAGGCAAGGCAGGCAGCAACATCAGGCGGCACGAAGCATATGTGCCTGTAGCTTCCCATGTGTCCATGTGTCAAACTAATTAGGCCTGATTCTTCCCATATGAATTGATTTGGTTTGAAACGAAATAGAAAAGGACATGGATCTGAAGAAAGCAATCAAACATGATTCACATTACGTTTTAACTTCTATTTGGGTCGCTCTTCTGCGCCCTCTCTTGTTTTGTTTTGTTTGATGATTGAATGCTGTTTGGTTTTGGGTACCACACGCTAGAGACACCGTGCAACAGCACTGTCACTGTAAAGAAACATGGCAATCGACCTGCAAATTATGTTGCCTCTAAATTTTCTTATGCTTCTCGGATTTATAGTGGCTCTAATGTTTCTAGTGATATTCCAATATGATTTTGGCCGGGATTTTATCCATATAATTTTATGACTTTCTTATAATCTGAATCTTTTGGGATTTTCTGCCCCCTCTATTCACAAATAAAAATGTTCTATTTGTTTGAAT